ATGCCATCTTTTCTCCAATGTATATTTTGGTGCCTTTGTCTAGTATGAGATAACTATATTTATGTGGGTTTGTCTCTGTGTCTTCTATTCTCTACCATTGGTCTACAAGTCTATTTTGGTGCCAATACCATGCCGTTTTTGTTACTGTAGCTTTGTAGTATAGTTTAAGTTCTGGTATTTTGATGCCTCCTACTTCACTGTTCTTTCTAAGGATTTCTTTGGCTATTCTAGGTCTCTCATTTTTCCAAATGAATCTCATGATTGCTTTTTCTATTTCTATAAGAAATGACATTGTATTCAATAGCATTGAATCTGAGCTTTGGGAGTATGGTCATTTTGACAATATTAATTCTGCCTATTCAAGAGTTTGTGAGATCTTTCCATCTTCTAAGCTCTTCTTCTATTTGTTTTTTTAGTGTTCTGTAGTTATCGTGGTAGAAGTCTTTCACCTAATTTGTTAAATTGATTCCCAAATATTGTTTTTAAGGCTATTGTGAATGGGGTAGTTTTCCTAATTTCTTTTTCAGAGGATTCATCACTGATGCATAGAAATAAATTTGATTTATGGGTATTTATTTTATATCCTGCTACTTTGCTGAATTCATTTGTTGATTCTAGAAGTTTTCTGATGGAGTTTTTAAATTTTTTTTTAATCCTCTAAGTATAGAATCATGTTATCAGCAGATAATGATACTTTGAGTTCTTCTTTTCCAGTCCGTATCCCCTGTCTGTATCCCTTTAATTTCTTTTGTCTGTCTAATTGCTCTGGCTAGAATTTCAAGGACTGTTGAATATAAATGGTGAAAGAGGGCATTTCTGTCTTATTCCAGTTTTTAAAGGAAATGCTCTCAATTTTTCTCCACTTAGAATGATGTTGGCCTTGGGTTTAGCACAGATAGATTAAATAATATGCTATTGAATGATTCATGGGTTACAGAAGACATCAGAGAGGAGATAAAATAATTCTTAGGGGTAAATGAGAACTCTGATACAGCTCATCAAAATCTCTGGAACACTGTGAAGGCAGTGCTAAGAGGAAGATTCATTGCATTGAGTTCATAGAAAGTCAACAAATAAATGACCTGACACTACATGTCAAAGCCCTAGAAAAAGAAGAAGAAACCAACACCAAAAGTAGTAAAAGACAGGAAATAATTAAAATCTGGGTAGAAATCAATGAAATTGAAACAAAAGAAACAATTCAAAAAACTGACAAAAGAAAAAGCTGGTTCTTTGAAAAAAATAAATAAAATTGACAAACCCTTAGTCACCCTTATGAAAAGAAGGAGAAAGAACTCAAATTAGTAAAATTCATGATGAAAAAGGAAATATCGTGACAGACACTATTGAAATACAGAAGACAATTTGAAACTATTTTGAAAATCTATACTCCAGTAAAATAGAAAACCTCAAAGACACTGACAAATTTCTAGAGGCATATTATCCACCCAAACTGAGTCAGAAGGACATACAAAATTTAAGCAAATTGATTTCAAGCAAAGAAATAGAAGATGCCATCAATAGCCTACCAACCAAGAAAAGCCCGGGACCAGACAGAGTCACAGCTGAGTTCTATAAGACCTATAAAGAAGAATTAATACCAATCCTCCTCAAATTATTCCATGAAAGAGAAAAGGAGGGATCCTTTCTACACTCATTCTATGAAGCTGGTATCATCCTGATACCAAAACCAGGCAGAGACACAACAAAGAAAGAAAATTTCAGACCAATATCCCTGATGAACATAGACGCAAAAATTCTCAATAACATTCTGGAAAATTGCATATAAAATCATATTTACAAAAATAGTGCACCGTGATCAAGTGGGGCTCCTTCCAGGGATGCAAGGTCGGGTCAACATATGGAAATCAATAAATGTAATACATCAATAGACTTAAAAATAAGAAAACTGGTTTGGCAGTTCCTTTAAAAAGTTAAAGATAAATTTACTATATGACCCTGTGATTTTATGCCTAGGTATCTACCCAAGAGAAATAAAGACATATCATTACAACAACACATCTATGTAAATATTCATAGCAACTTTCTCCAGAACAGTTCAAAATGTAGAAACACTCAACATTGTCATCAACTAAAAAATAAGAAAACAAATGTGGTGTACCCATATAATTGATACTGTTCAGCACATAAAGGGAATGAAATACTAATACAGGCTACAACATAGGTGAACCCCCAAAACACTTTATGCTAAATAAAAAAGCCAGGTATAAAAGACTGCATATTATATGAGTTCATTCATCTGATGTCCAGAAAAAAACAAATCTTTAGAGTCAGTTAGGGGTTGGCTAGAGCTGGGGGGGTGGGGAGGTAAAAATAAGGAGGAGTATCTGGGGGGTATAAGAGATCTTTTAGAGGATAAGAGAATTGTCCCCTAACAAGATTATGAGGATGGTTACACAAGTCCACGTTTTACCAAAAATAATAGATTGTATACTTAAAACAGATGTTATGGCATGTAAATTATACTTTTTTTAAAAAAAAGATGTTTAAAAGTAAAAGAAAGGAAAATTATGCCATGGGTAACTAAGAAGAGCTAATAAAAAAATTAATAAAAGAAAGGTCATACTGTGATCCTTTTGGCCTTGCCTTTCACAATTTCATTAGGGTTCATATTTATTGATTCCTTTCAGAGTCTAAATGCTCTTTTGGTTGAAGGCAATTCATTTCATCCAGAGAAATTCTAGATGAAATCAACCAGCCTCCAACACTCCCAAGAGCTGAAGGTGATAGGAGATCTCTAAGGAACACTTCAGTGTCCACTACAACATACAAAGGCATAAAATGCAACTGCATGGCTCAGAGAGTCCCTGACTCCGATCTCAGCAAGAACAGAGGCCTTTAGCTAGTGCTGAAAACTTCAGAAAACAAGTTGCTACACAATGAATAGGGTCAACTCTCCTAAGAAAGTGTATTTGAAATATTGTCAGTGAGGTCCCAGGTGGGAAGAGGAGAACATTTGTGATACAGAGGGATTGTCTATTTAAATATCTATCCAGGAATACTGACATCTTAGGGGGGTTAAGTGATGGGTCAAGTTCACTCACTTATGGACCATTACTCCCAACAATTGCAAAAAACATTCATTTAAGGTCCATATGTCATGTTCACAATATAAAACATGTATGTATAAGGCCATAGGCAAGTCTCAATAAATATTGCAGAATCATACAAAGAATATACTCTGGCTACAAAGTTATTAAACTAAAAATCAATGATAATAAGCCTTATAGAAAAAAAGCCTCACTTTTAGCAAATGGGTGACATATTTCTGAATGACACTTGGGTAAAGAAAAGAAATATGAAGGAAATTGGAAGATATCTGTATCTAAATGACGATTAAAACCCCAATACTTCAAAATTTTGGATGCAGTTAACACAGGGTGAGTTTAATTAAATTGTTACAGAGAAAAATGAAATGTTTACAGTTGAAGAGACAAAATGGCTAAAATCAGTTAATATCATTTATCTTAGCTTTTACCATAAGAACTTTGAAAAAGAATAATAAATTAAGCCCAAATTGAATAAATAAAAGCAAATAATAAAAATAAAAGAAATCAATAAAATGTAACAACTGACAAACAATAGAAAAAAAATCAAGTCAATTCTGCCCTCTCTCACAAAACTTAATTTCAGATGGATTGTCTATTTAAATATCTATCCAGGAACACTGACATCTTAGAAGAAGAAAATACCAAACTGTGGAAATAAAATGAATTCTAAGGAGATAAAATTCTAAAAGTAGATGCCTTTAGGGTATCTACAGGAGTATACTGGAGGAAGGAGTCACTTTTGGAAAGAGTCAAGAAGAACTTTCTGGGGTAACAGAAATGTTTCATATATTTTTTGGGGTGGTACTTACACGGGTACTTACAAGTGTCTAAGGTTAACCAAAAAAAAAAAAAAAACTAAAATCTGGGCATTTTAATGTCTATGAGTTATAACTAAATGTTTAAAAATGGAGGAAACACAGTATCTAGAGTACCTTCTGGCAGTGACGTTTGGGCACCTCTGGGGCATAGGCTTTAAAAGCATTCATAGCATCTTCAGTTCAGGAATTTTCTGCAAGTGGTTTTATAGCCAAAATGTGGAGTGAGTGCAAACATCCACGTTGAGATCCACAGCATCACACAACTACAAAACCCCACTCTTGGGATGTGAGCCATAAATTTTAAATGGCTGCATGGCTTCCTTTTAAAGATGCTCTCCCCCTAGGAAATCACAGCTCTTTTGGGAGAAGGAAATTGAAGTTTTGAATATATTTGGTGGGAAAGGAAGTCACCTGACCTATGACTTGCTGATTGAAGCTACCACCATTAAAATTTTCTAAAGTTTGCAAGACAGCAGCAACATCTCAAACTATGTGAGAGAGGAGACTAAGGGCTGATGTGGATTTTCCTTCCAGATGTATTTATTGAACAAGACCAAATCATATATTTTACTTTGAAATTTCTCCTTTTCTAATTTAAGTTCATAGATTGGGAATAACAGACAGTTTGTATGAACAAGTATCTGACTAAGACTAAAATACAGACTCTTAATCACACTGTGGCCTTGAAGCTATTTTCTTTTCCTGATCTTGGAAGGAATAAGGGATGTAACACCAAGGCCATGCCTTGGGGGAGGAGGCATCAGAGAGGAGAGCAAGCAATGAAAGTGAAGCAAGAGTTCAGGTGATTGGCTGATCTGGAAAGCACAACATAAAAAGCTCCAGTCCTGCCCTTGGAGAAGGAGGAGACCAGGACCAAGGCTCTTTCATCTGTCTTTTAACAATCTAATATGTTAGAACTGTTCATGTTCTTTCTGCTACTCCTAGTGGTAGTGGTGGAGATGGGGGGGATATGGGAGCTTTCAACAATAGAGTGGAGTAAATATATTGTGTTTCTGTACCCCTTGTACTCATGGGACTTCTCTTTTTAGCCTCTTCAGGGTCACCCTGTTGTACACCTGTCCCCTACTGTGTACTGCTTCCTGCATTGGCCATGACTGGGTGGAGCTGCCTGGTGACAGGAGCCGGAGGATTTCTGGGCCAGAGGATCATCAGCTTGTTGGTGCAGGAGAAGGAGCTGCAGGAGGTCAGGGCCCTGGACAAGATCTTCAGACCAGAAATCAAGGAGAAATTGTCTAGTAAGTATGCTGGATGCTTGAAAGTCTGTCTCCGTTATGAATCCTGAGTATACGTGTGTGTGTGTGTGTGTGTGTGTGTGTGTTGGGGGAGTGTGTGTTGAAGGCCTATTGTCCAGCAAATGAAGGAAATAGGGAGCCATAAGTCTCCACCTATGTCTGAATATCCAGAGTAGTCACAGGTGCTATTGCATAAGGACGCTGCGAAACTCTCTGGAGACTGGATTCTGACAAGAACCAGAAGTAGATAAATGGCCATAAGCAGCCAATGGGCTTCTAGGACACATCAGTTCTCTCTGCCTACAGCTCTTTAATGTGCTGAAGGTTTGGGACTTCAGAATTGGCGTGCAGCATCTGAAAAGGGCCATTCTGAGGGAGACCTTCAAATAGGGTACTGCCCCCTTGATTAACTGGGGTTTTTGTGTTTTGCTTTCATTTGTTCTGATTTTTAAGAGAATGCCTCAGTATCTTCTGTGAGGTGAATGAAAAGGAAGGGAAGGTAAAGCTGACTAAGGATGCATGTGTGTGCAGGAAAGAGAGACAGATAACAGAGAAAGATAACAGAGACAGAGAGAACAGTCGTGGGTAGCAGTAGCCAGAGTAAACATGACAGGCAAGACAAAACCAGACCTGCCTCATCTGAATTCCTCTTACTCACCAATCCTCTCTGCTCTTCATTCTCTCAAAAAGGTGACTGCATATTTGATATAGCAACATATTATTCTTTGCCAAAAGTGCTACCCCAGAGCATTTCCAACCTGCTTAAACCCAGATCCTCAAAACAATCCTGTGGGGAGGTAGGAAAGAGGATTCACCCTTTCAGATAGTGAGGATATTAAAGTCCTAATAGGATGGGAGATTGATCTGAGGTTACTTCATTATTGGAAATCAGAACTTTGTCTAAAGTCTTATTCCTGAACTTTGACTAAAGTCCATCACCTGGCCCTGGACTGACTCCTGGCACAGTAAGTCCTGAGTCTTTCATTGGCCCCTGTGTATTCCAAAGAGTTGCCTTCCTACACATACAATTTGGAGGCACTGGGTGTCTACCCACAGGCACAGGTTCTCAAATGAACCAGTCCTGCACACAGAGGACCCAGGACAACACTCTGGAACCACAATGATCACTGTACTATTTTCTGCTCCTCTGACTGCTTCCAAAGTTCCATCTTTCTCTCCTACCTGCTTCAGTGTGTTCTCAAACAAATACTGACACGTGACCAATACTTACTATAAGCCTGATGCTTCAACAATAATTGCAATCTAATGTATCACAGCAGGAGAGGGCAATGTTCAGCCTAGAGGAATAGCTTCCTAATGGTAACAGGTCAGGGGTACCAGTGGAGAATCCTTACAGTTTTTTTTCTCTGCCAGGTACAGTGTTGGCAGTATTAACTAATCATCTCTTCATGAGATCACCAGAAGTTAGATAATGGTGTTATCCTTATTTTACAGATGAGGAAAGAAAGGCTAATCAACTTGCCCAAGGCCCCACAGCTAGAAGAAGACATTGAGGGGTTTGATCTCAGGAGGTCTGGTTGCAACATCTGAGCTCTTATAGATGGATTAGTCCAATCATTTCCCTCTGGGCCTCCCTCCAATCTGATTCAACCAGAAAAGCAAATACTTATTCCATATAAATAAAACACGGGCCAAGTCCTCAGTGTCTTGGAGAAGGCAGGAGCTATGGCGCCACCTTAAAGCACCCAAAATGCCCTTTCCTGGATCTTAGGTGCCTCAGTGCTGGCAGATAAAGGTCAATTCTCCTCAGAGCTCTGGGCTTCACCACCTTATCCCATCACTTTCTCTGAGACAGTTCCTCTGAAGGCAGCCGCAAAGGAGATTCAGAGGAAGGAGCAATGCCACTCTCAGGACAAACTTACCTCCTTGCCATTCCCTGTCCTGACTTCCTTCACTGTAGTGCCTTCCTGGAAGACACAAAGGTCTGCAGAGGATTAAAAAGGATAAGCAATTCTTGCAATCAGAACTCCTATCTGATGGGATAACTAAGAAATAAAAATGTAAGCAAACTGCAAATTTATGTATAAGAAATCAAGTGAAGCGTATTGAAGCAGATCACCTGCAGCAAAGTTTTGACAGCCTGACTGGCAGTATCATTCCTGAGGATCTCAGAGAAGCCTGAAGACATTGGTCTTGTATCCATTGCTCCTAGCTAGGTGGCTGTAGTGGAAGTGCCTTGGAGACTGATGCATTTTCAGGACTGATGTTTGCTTTTAATAATATCTCATATTCAATTAGAGATGTTCCATTAGATCTGTCATTGAAGCCCATCCTAACTTCCCTGTTAATGGCTCCAGTCTCCTAGTCACACAAGCATGAAACACTAAGGCTGATGTGATCTCTTCTTTTCTGCTCAGCCCAGACCCAGTGACAAACAGGACCTGTCAGGGGGAGGCCTGATACACCTTGCGGGTCTCCCTCCTCTGCTCCCACTGTTGGGACTTAGATCCTCCTCATCAGGTCTGGAGCAGAGACATACCTGTTAACCTGTTGCTTACCCTGCTCTCTCTATCTCTTAAACCCCAGAGCTGTGCCTTTGACACGCTGAGGCCAAGGTTGGTTTGTATGCTGCCTACCCTCTGCCTCTGCTTCACCTTCAATCATTAGCTCTATGCTCCGATTTTGATTTCTGGATTGGAATAGAATTAAATAGTCCTTTTTTCTTTCTGAGTAAATCTGCTATCCATTTTGATTTCCTTCCCTGCTTTTTCCTTGGAAGGTGTCTCCCACCAACACTCTCCCTGTCATCTATGATGGTACTGGAAGACACAGGTAACTGCTTTATCAGGAAACTTTCAAGCTCATTCAGAAAGCTTTCTAATCACCTACTTTGTGTTCCTACAGAGTTGCAGACAAAGACCAAGGTGACATTGGTGGAAGGAGACATTCTGGATGCCCAGTGCCTGAGGAGAGCCTGCCAGGGCATCTTGGTTGTCATCCACACAGCTGCTCTTATTGATATCTGGAATATCCATTCCAGACAGGCTATCATAGACGTCAATCTGAAAGGTAGAGTGACCTGGGTTGGTATGTGGCAGGTGAAAGATGAGGGTGGCAGTAAAGAATGAGGAGGGGTAGAGAAGCCCCCACCACCAAACTCCAACTGTGCTCTGGCCTAGGTGTCTTTGCTCATCAATCTCAGTTGACAGAGCCCAGGGCTATTATTTTTTCAGGATTTTACATGAGGAATCCAGGGCTGAGAAAGGACAAGGAACTTGGCCAAGGCCCCACAGGTAGACCCTAGAGAGAAGAAATTTAAATTCACACCTGTGCGGCTTCATCCAACTTGAACCTTGTCCTCCTGCTCCTTCATTCCAAAGTCACCTTGACTCTCATTTCAAGCTCTTGAGGTCCATTCACCCCCTGCCTCTCTGGGCCAGAAGAGACCTTGCAGGTGCCCCTTCCTTCATGCTATTAGCTTTTGTGTGAGGGACAATGAGAACATCCAAAAATTCCCACCTCAGGGAAGAATTCCTCTCCAGAGAACTAGCATAGCTGGCCCACAGAGGACAGAGTGGTCAAGCATTTGCCATCCTATGATATTTCGTTACCAATAATTGGATCCCATTTCCATAATCCTAACTCTTCTGCTCCCACTGGGTCTATACTTAATGTTGTAGCTCCTACACAAGTGCCCAAAGTAACTACTCCTCAGACCCTCATCACTAAATGCTAGGTGGTTCTTCCTGAATTGCATTTCCAATCTACTCCAAATTGAGATAGGTTAGTTCAAGGAAGTCATATAATATCTGAGCTCTGGAGGACAGTCTTCCCTGCACTAGTGTCCTCAAGCCCCTGGCCCATCTGTCCTCTATGCCTTGACCTCAATTCACTCAGTGACTCCTTTTTTCAAAGCAACCCAGTGGTGCTTTCTGATCTCCAGCACTATCTAAAATGAAGCCTTTCCCAGTTTCTACATAGCTGCACCACTAACCATCCACATTGCAGGATGGTACTGTGAGTAACTAGATATTCATTTTCGGTCCCTATCTCTAAGGCCTTTGTTTATTCTGACAACAGAATACAAAATGAAAACAGCAGGATTATATGCATCAGTTTACCAAAATACTGTCACAGCTTTAAAAAATACATCATAATTATTGACTTTTCCCTCTGCTAGTAAACCAAGTCAAAATTTTCTAGATACTACATTAACAATTTTCAAATAAATGAGGTTGCCTTTCCAGAAAATCAAATTTTTGTAAAAGTTTTAAACAGAAAAACATAAAAATAAATAAATGCACATATAGGTAAACAAATGAAAATGATCCTTTGCTCAGGACATCACTTCCTTCTTCAAGAGAACGCATTCTACCTCTCCTCCAGGACTTGCAGATCTACACTGCTACAGGGATTCCAGACAACTCTAATATTATAGGTCTTCCCAACAGAAATCTCATGCTTCTCGTCAGTTCCAACCAGGCTCAATAGTAAAGTCCAGTGTGGGACTGAAGAAAGCTAAGTAAAGGGAATGATTACTACCCCTACTGCTCATAACTAGGCAAACAGAATCACAGAAAGAGCTGGGAGTGAGCCTTTGAGGGAACACACAGTTGGGAACAGAGGCTGGGTCTCCATCACCTCCCCACAACTTGATAACCATTTACTTACGGACTCAAACGATGCTCTTGTGACAAAGTTTTTATTGACTTTCAACAAATGGGAAACATGGCAGCACTCTAATTTCCATCTAACAGTGCATGTCTTCTATAAACCACTGTGCACGAGTTAATGTAATGTGAAATTCCAACTGTCCTTGAGAGTATGGATTCCTGAATTTTTAGATTTCAAAAGATTTATTTTTAATGAAATGATACACATGAAAATAATTCTTTAATGTCCAACAATAGAGTAGAAACCCTATGTCTTTTTCCAAAATCAAAGGACACACACATACACATACACACTCACACATACACAATCTATGAAACTCCAAAGCCTAGAAATCCTTTGTTATTAGAACCCAAATGTTAGCCTCCTATCCTTTGTGTATTCTTTTTATTTTTCCCTTTTGTGTGTGTGAGGTGTCATGGATTGAACCCAGGGCGTTGTACATGTGAGGCAGGCACTCTACCAACTGAGCTATGTCCCCAGCCTCCCTTTTTATATTCTTCCTATGGCTATAGCATGGCATTAGTCAGCACAGAAAAAAAAATTGCACTTAGATCTGTAGCAAACACTCTTTTCTAGGAGGAGAATGAGATACATATAAATCTATGGTCATGGTGTTTTAGGGTTATTTCCTGATACTGACAACTTATTCCCCATATGCAGGTACCCAGCACCTGTTGGATGCCTGCATCCAAGCTAGTGTGCCATTCTTCATCTACACCAGTTCAGTAGAAGTAGCAGGACCCAACTCCTACAAGGAGATCGTCCAGAATGGCCACGAGGAAGAGCATCATGAAACTGTATGGACGGCTTCGTACCCCTACAGCAAAAAGCTGGCTGAGAAGGCTGTGCTGGCAGCTAATGGGAGCACTCTGAAAAATGGGGACACCTTGTGGACTTGTTCCTTAAGGCCCATGTACATCTATGGGGAAGGAAGC